TTATAAAGAAAAGGAAAAGAAAAAGTGAGATAAAGTAAAAGAAAAAAGACATGAAAAATAGCTTCTAATCTATCTCTGGTCTTAAGAATAATAAGAGTGTCATAGATGCTAGTTTTTAATGCATTAAGTAGGAATAATTCTTTGTCAAGAGATGCCCTCTATTTCTGTTCTTCATATACTACTATATATCTTGATATTTTAGAAATCTGCCTTTTTATTTTTATTTAACATTCTTAACATACACAAATAACAGAACAATCTTTAAACTTAAGAAAAAAGCTAATAGAGATCAAAGCAAAAAAGAAAAAAATAGAAGAGACAACCCCAAACCAGCTAAGAATACAAACTAAGAAAGAAAAGAAAAATACAATGAAAAAAAATCTACCTTATATTTTATACTTATCAATAGTCACTAGTTTACTAATACATACATTACTATAATATTATCAGTACCAAATATTATTGTAAAAATCACAAAATCTCTGCCATAGTAACATATATTGCTACATGCTTTGATTAGCAGAAAATACTAATTTTCTAAATACTAAAATACCATATAAATAGAAAATACTAATTTTCCTTTTCAAAAAGATAGATCATACATTTCCGACAATCGTTCCTTAACATCTGAAATAATATCACATTTCCAATTTCTCAATATAATTATTGTAGCCATTCCCCCATGCTTGATACAATTCCTGGTAAACACTCAAATTCCAAAGCTCTTGTATATAATTTTGCCTTCTTTTCCAAACTAACTCTGTATTGTCCATTCTGAATGGAAGAGACTTTCCAGAACCTCAGACAAAACCTTTTGTATCATTCCTCCCCCCTCCCTCCCCCCCTCTTTTTGCTGGAAACCGTATAGATTACATATGGATTATGCTGCCTATCATAAATCCTTCCATTGAGTTGTAGTTGCTTTCCTATGTTATTAATAACCTTTCCTGTTTACAGAGTTCCCTAATAAATTGTCAGAAACTGTTTTTCCTTTTACCACTCTATATTGTATAAGTAGTAGTCTGGAAAAAAAATATGAACAGTCAGATGCTTTGCAAAATGTATTTAAGCATAAATATTTTTCAAGTCCACTCCCTATAACCTAGATTACAAAATATAGCATTCCTCTTTTCACAAAATATCACGTTTCCTATATTGCTATTCTCCTCTAAATACCAAGTTAGCATGCAACTACCTTAATGAGAGACTTATGGACCTTTCAGTTGGTACTGACTGGATATATCCCAATAATTCTTTTTCTGTTTCTAATATTACCACCTCACAGATAAAAGTTCCTTTGGGTACAAATGTTCCACCTTATTACTAATGTGACTTGGTAGGAATCAGTCATCCATGTAGATTTGAAATGTGTAAAATCCATGAGGTAGTGTGTGGATATAAATACGTTGTCTAACAATCTACATTCAGGCAGTTTAGTGAGTTCTAGTCCCACCTTAGGCACGAAGCCAACTGGGTGACCTTGAGCCAGTCATTCTCCCTCTCTCAGCCCTAGGAAGAAGGCAGTGCCAAGCCACTTCCAAAAATCTTGCCAAGAAAACTGGAGAGATTAGTCCAAGCAGTCACCAGGAGTCAAAGATTGACTGGAAGGCACCGCCCCCCCAAAAAAAATTATCAAAAAAATGTTGCTGTTGTGTATATGTGTGTGTGATGTTTTAGTCCCAAGTATTCTATAGCATCACTTCAGTTCACATGAAGAGAATTTAAAAACAATGGATTTAAGTAAACCTGTGTATTAATTTATAAACTTTTCTTGAGCAGATACTCAAGAAGCTGGCAGTAATAGAAGACATGGTAGTTCCATGGTGAGTTCAGCTTCCATGAGTATTCTTCACAGCTCTTCTCTTCATGATTATACTCCTGTTAGTCACTCTGAAAACCAAGATTCTCTGCAGGTATATTCCTTTATCTTTTCTTTACTATGTTATTTCTTTAGCTTGTATCTGTCTATCTTCTATCTTCGTCAGCTTATTCTTACTTCCAAACTGAAAATAAATATCATTAATTAGTTATGGAAATGACCATATAACAGATTTCAAATAGAGTATTAGCCAAAATAATCATTATCATGATTAAATAAATATAATGTCAACTTAGATTGAAAATAAACTTGGGGACTGATTAAAGTGTGTGCATGTATATATTTGTGACATATAGTATATAGGCATTTCTTAATTTTGATATCTCTTATAGGCACTGAGTTCCTTGGATGAAGATGATCCAAACATACTTCTTGCTATTCAGTTATCATTGCAAGAATCTGGCTTGGTTATTGACGATGAAACTAGAGACTTCCTAACTAATGAAGCTTCATTAGGAGCAATAGGTTCTTCTTTGCCTACAAGGTTAGACTCTGGCCCAGTAAATATTGATAATCCAAGAGCGGCTCTAAGTAGCTCTGAACTTTTAGAACTTGGTGATAGCCTGATGAAACTAAGTGCAGATAGCGATCAGTTTTCAACAGACCATCTTAGTTCTCACACTTTCAATAATACAAGAAGTGGCTTATATTCAGCATCTGGTGAAGCTGACTCAGGTAGCCAAGATCTTAATATAAATGAAAATCTCCTTGGAAACATAATGGCTTGGTTCCATGACATGAATCCTCAGAGTATTGCACTCATTCCTTCCGCAAGTACAGAAACAGATGATGATTCACAGCAACCCAGTACTGAAGAGGGGTTAGTGGAACAGCCACATGTAAGACAAGATCTTCTAGAGGAAGATGCGCTTTTTGAGGAGGCACTCAAAAATGAAGGCAGAGGCATTCAAAGAGAAGAGGGTGCTGCTGCTGGAGACATTAGTAAAGGAGAAACAGTTACACAAAGTGAAGACTCCTCTGGAGAGACTAGTAGCCAAGTTGTAACTTCTGATGTTGCACGTCAGACATCTAAAACTTCAACTGAATGGGTTGAACATGTGCATTTGGTGTAATCACAAGAAGTCTGAAGACAGGAATTGATTGTGGAGCCAAAATGGCTAGGCAATTGCCAACGGTACACTATATAGCATAAGAATTCTGGAAACTTTGACAAATGCTAGCAGAGCTCAGTTGTTTACCAGAGGTGTAAAAATGGAATAAATAGAAATTTCCTTGGTGTTCTTTATGAAGATTATTGAACCTTTCAGGGAATTTCCATTGCATTGGACAGTAAAGTGGCTTGCTTGTTTGGAGGAAGTAGAAAGCTTGTACTCCACATTCCTAATACAATGCATTATCTATTTAGCCTTAGGCTGATGATCCGTAACTTGAAAGTGGAGATTAAAGGCTTCCTTAGCTACTTATCTTAAGAAACCATTTTCTCCTTTTTCTGTCATTTGTCTTACCCTTTAAAAACCAAGGTTTAGCAGTAAACATTATGTCTTGCTTTCCCCAGGTAATCAGTAATAGTATGAGTTGAGTTAGAATTGGATCTTTTCTAATTAAAATAAAGTTTTTCATGTTTATGTACAGTACAGATGTGCCAAATTGAGCAGCAAATCAACTTCAACACAAAAGTATGCAGTATTGTTTTTTACACTAACCCATATTTTTAAGGATGATATAAAGATCACACACACACAAAGCTTTTCCAAATTTCAGTGGCATTTATTACCATTATAATTGCATTAACATAATTTTATCCTAATTAAATCTAATTCTGCTATTTAGGACAGTTATTTTAAACATTGTTTGCTCAATTGAAAAGACACTTTAATAGAAGTGCAATCTTTTCATTCTATGCACTATGAGTGCAGTTGCTTTTAGCAGTAACATTTTACAAAGCAAAGTTTGAAATTTCCTTAAGCTAGAGGCAGCCCCCCCCCCCATAGAAGATTAGTAATATCACATGCAACATGTTATTGTGCCTTGCCTAACCTAAATAGATAGTTGCCACAGTTAAATGAATACTGGTCATCTGTTCTGGAGTATACTATGCTATGAACTGCAAAAACCTCCATAAAACCACTCATGGCCTTTCCTTTCCACTCAATACCTATATAGGGTATAAGCCTTCCCCACACAGGTACAGCATGCACACCTAGAAGGATCCCCATAGGATTCAAGAGAGCCTTATTTTTCTCTTCCTCTCCCCACCCCATCTTCCTCAGCATGCATTTGAGGGCAGTACAGTATCTGTCTGTGCCTCCTGTATCTCCATCCGGCCTACTTGTTTCACTCAGTGAAGCTGTATGAGCTTCAACTGAAAGAGAGGGAGAGGCAGGAATAAGAAGGTGTGCTTCCAGTGCATGCACTCTGAGAAGTGGGTGGGAAATACAGCTGTTTAGACAAATCCCTTGTTTGCAGACACCATAGCTGCACAGGGAGTTATCATGCCCTATATGTCAAAGTTTTTATCGAAATAATAAACACTACAGTGTATTCTTTTCAATTGCACAATATTCATTTGGTGTATGATTGCTGTTTCATATTTTCTAAAAAACCCACAACCTTCCCTAATGGTATCCTACTGTGAAGAAAAAATTTGTTAAGATTGGCTCAAAAACATCAAAACCTCATTGTAAATTAGTGATGCAGATTGTAACTTTAACTAGAAGTAATTGTTTTAAATTACTGTTTTGCTTGCATATAATCAAAGCCTAGGTTAACAGAAGCAAAATGAATGAAATACTCCTTTTTTTTGGTTTGACTTGATATGAGAAATCTACTATGTCTGATATAAAAATTTCTTGCTACTGATTGTGTACAGTAAGGTATTTTGATGGCAGAAAAAGTGTGTATATTGATTACTGTGAGTTACAAGAAAAAGTGTTAAATCTTTCATTTAAGGATAACTGTTGGAATCTTGCAGTCCCTGTGACTCATAAAACTAAATATTAACTATTTAATCCATTTTTTAAAAAAAATCTGTTTCTTGACATTTCTTTGGAAGGAGTAGTCTGCTTCTCTGTTACTATATTCTGTACATCTATTATATTTTCTAGCTTGGCTTCTAATTGCCCTATCCTGAAAGTATTGGTGTTGAATCCCTTTTTCTAGCCTTGGAAAATTATCTCTTTAAACAGCTGTCTGTTATAGAATCCTTTCTAATCTAAAATAGATCTTGAAGACTCTATCTTCACTCATTGGTCTTATATATTTTAAATACGCATACAGCTTCCTTGAATTATAATTTCCAAATAGAATATCACATGGTTTTGTGTATTGCATTAAGATGTCTTGCAAAGCTAAGAGAAGATATGTATGAGTGCTTTCTGTGATGATAGTGAAGTTTGTGGGTTCTGGTTTTCTGTAACTTGGTTTAAATTGTGCAGTATATTCCATTGTTAAATTTATTCTGAGCATGGAATTTAGCATATTAAATTTGTATTTTCTCGGTACTTATTTAAAATTTAAGACCATCCCACTAATTGAATTTAGAATTCTGAAAGAAAGTTTGGCAAGCCTATTTTGTAAACCAATTAATTTTATAAAGGAAAACAAAACTACTATAATCTTGAAAATGGTATTTGCACTTTCATAGTATATACTTGATACATTCCCACTTTATATACAGTAGAATATTACAACTGTGTAGATGTTTGGCCAAATGAATGCTGTTAATAATATGTACAATTTTTGATTAAACATTTATTACTTAAACTAATTTCTTCTAACTCTTGTATTTCTTTACCAAATATTGTATTAGATGAAAGAATTGTATTTGGAATTTTTCAAAAAATAGCTCACACTGATGTGCAACAATTTTCTAGTAGAGGGTTTCAATAACAGTTCTTATGCTTGCACAGGATGTTCCAGAAGAAAACCTTTGGGTTTAGTTTAGTTTAGTTTGTTCTTGTGTAAAGTTTAACATCATCTGTAATAAAACAAAACCCACCCCCCTGAAGCAGAAGACATCTTCTGAATGCAGGAAGGAACCTTGAGATCAAATCCAGTATTCTGTATTTCAAACACTGTGTAACATTAAAAGTAGATGATTTGCACAGAAATAGTTCAAAGATAATTAACCATTGACTAAAGTACTACTTTAATAGCTGAAGCTCTAATGAAAATAAATAGCACTGTTCACTATTCTGTTTAGAAATATCTGAGTTACTTGTGTATTTCTTAAACTGAAACCAGAAAGGAATAGAGACAGAAGGGCATATTTGCCCTAAGATATCAACCACCCATTCATTTGAAGTCTTCATTTTTAACAGATCTAATAAACATTCTAACAAGGATCAGAAAATACACTTGGTGCCAACCTTTATTCTAATATAAGTTATAAAATGTTCTGGGTCTTTCAGAAACATTACATCTGCATAAATACATGAAGTCCTCACTTAACAACTGTTTGAAGTACAACAGCCTCAGGGTACTTTATGGCCCGTAAAGCACTTCCAGCCATCGTAAAGCACTTCCAGCCATCGTAAAATGCCACACTCCCCCCTGAGGTCACATGGCCGCATTTCGGGTGCTTGGCAACTGGCTTGCATTTATGACTGGTTGGCAAATGCCCCATGATCATGGGATTGCCATTTGCAATCTTTCTGGGGAAGCCAGCAGGGAAAGTTGCAAATGAAGGGGATGGAGGGAGACCTCTTGGCGGTGTGCAGGAACAGAGCTCAAATCCTGAAAAATTGAGCTCTGTTCCTCCAGCCCCACAAAGGATTTCTCCTCCATGCATGGAGGTGAGGGCAAACCCTTCAGCAGGCTGCAGGAACATTTGAGAGCGAAAGGGTTGCCTGCTGGGAGGACTTCAGCTCTGCATGGAGCTGAAATCCTTCAGCAGGCAGCTCTTTCACTCCACTTAACCTTGGAGATTGCTTAATGAGTGCAACCAGGAATGCCTGGATTGTGATTGTTGAGCAAGCAATCATGTTAAGCAGTCACTTAACTGCTTTGCTCAGTGATCAAGATTCTAGTCCTAACTGGTTAGGTGAGGACTACCTGTAGTTTTATCACATTTTGACATTTTTATGGTATATTTACAGATAGTCCTCAGTTAACGATGGTAATTGGTACCAGAATTTCCATTGCTAAGTGATGTAGTTGTAAAGCACAAAGTCATGTGACCGGATTGCTTAACGATGGCAATCCCAGCAGTCCCTGTTGTCATCGTTAACAGAATCAAGTTTTTTTAGTGATACTATGGCATACATTCTGTATAAATGTTTCATGTATTCTACTTTAAAATATAGTTTAGCAGTATTATAACCCTCCGAAAGTATTTTGCTTACTGTTAGCCCTACATAATTGTATTTAACTGACCAGACCGATCTTCTTTCTCAGACTACTTCATGCTACTTTAATATTTTTTTCCCCTGGAAGTGCTCTTGAAACTTTCTCTTAAGTTACTTTTGTACAATCTTCTTTATTCAGATTATACAACATGCTTCTCACTTCATGAAACCAACAAATCTCAATATAAATAAAAACATATTGAGAATGTCAATGTAGACATTCAGTACTGCAAATACATATTCATCTGGATTCAGGCGGTAATGATGCTTCTTTCCCAGCATTAGTTGTGTGTCAACCAACAGGTACTTTTAAAAAAAACAAGAAAAGAAAAATGCAGTATGTTATTTTATTCTGAAGATATAATTTATTTTAAAAGCATTATCTAGCATAGTTTGTATAATTAACCTGTTTTTTATCACTTTACTCTAGTGTCTAGTCAAGTGATTTTAATATTTTAGTGTGGTAAAGATCTCTTTATTAATAAAAACAAAATGCCCTTTTTGTGGTAATTATTGTTAGAGTTTCTAATATTTACAGTGATATGAACTTAAATTTATATAGAGACTTTTACCTTGTATAAATTAGTTAACCTTGAGTCCTATTAAAATTTATGTGTGAAGTCATGGGTTAAGTTCCATTTATTTAAATAAGAAATAGTTACAACTAATTTAGTCTATATTCAACCCCAATCTGCTAGAAATGGTATCAGTGTAAATTGATGTGTCATCAAGTCATTGTCGACTCTGCGACTACATAGATAGGTTTTCTCCATGATGACTTGTCCCTAATCTGGTCTTCCACATCTTTCAATGGAGCACTCATCACCACTGTAACTGAGTCCACCTTGCTGCTGGTCATCCTGTTCTCTTTCCTTCCACCTTTCCCAGTATTAGAGCCTTTTCCAGAGAGCTAGGTCTTCGCATATTGTGTCCAAACTAGAATAATAATTTGAGCCTGGTCATTTGTGCCTCAAGCAAGAACTCTGGATTGATTTCTTTGATGATCCATTGGTTTGTTTTCTTGGTTGTCCACAGTATTCTCAGGAGTCTTCTCCAACACCAAAATTCAAAAGCATCAATACTCTCCCTATCCTGCTTCTTCAAATCCAACTTTCGCTTCTGTGGAGTGTCACAGGGAATACCATGACTTGCATGACTCTGACCTTTGTAGTTATGCACACATGAATGCATTTAAATTTCTTTTCCAATGCCGTCATGGTTCCCTACCAACTGCTAGTCTGTGGCATATTTCTTGACTGCTTGGCCGTTTACTATTGATGGATGATCCCAAAAGGCAGGAGCTATCTACCATTTTGATATTTTGATTGTCAATTTTAAGGCTGGTTGTTCTGCCTGTTGTTATTAGTTTGGTTTTCTTTATATTTAATTTTAGTCCCATTTTTTTTCTGTGCTCCTTGAGTTTTATTACTAGAGCTTGCAGATCCTTTGTATTTTCAGCTATCAAGGAAGTGTCATCTGCATAGTACAGGTCATTGATTTTTCTTCCTCCAGTTTTAAAACCACACTCATCTTTTTCCAATTCAGCTACCATTAATATATATTCAGCAATAGGTTGAATAAGTAAGGGGAGAGTATACAGCCTTGTCACACTCCTTTGCCAACCTGGAACCAGTCTGCTTCACCATGTTCTGTCCATACTGTGGCTTCCTGACTTGTATATAACTGGAAGAGATGTTCTGGAATGAGGAGAATGAGATGTTCTGGGATTCCCATTTTTCTGAGCACATTCCACAGCTTGACATGACCGACACAATCAAAGGCCTTTCTATAATCAATGAACCACATAGTGACTTCTTTTTGGTATTCTTTGGCTTTCTCAGTTATTCAGCATGCATTACCAATAATGTCTCATATTCTTCAGCCTTTTCTAAAGCCAGCTTGAACATCTGGCATCTCTTTTTCCATGTAGGGCTCTAATCTGCACTGGATGACCCAAAACTTAATTTTGCTAGCATGTGAAATTAAGGATATTGTACAATAGTTTACACACTCTCAAATCTCCTTTTTTTGGTACTGGAATGTAGACTGATATCTTCCAATCTGTTAGCCATTGTGTCATTCTCCAGATTTGCTGGCGTAGCTTGGTTAGAACCTTTACTAATTTTTCTTCTGTGGCTTCCCATATTTCAATGGGTATTCCATCAGTTCCTGAGGTCTGTTGACTTGGTAATGATCAGAGTGCTGATCTAACTTCATCTTTTAGTACCAGAGGTTCTTGTAAGTAGGGTATATATTCTAAGGTATCTTGGATGTTGACATCTCTACTGTACAGTATTTCAGTATACCCCTATCTTAGTTTGATCTCCTTTGTATTGGTTACTATCTATCCATTGACATCTTTTAGCATAGCAATTTGAGGCTGGAACCTCCTTAATTCATATATCTTTTGAAAGACTTTCCTTCTTCTTCCATGTCTGTTTCCATCTTCAGTGTCCTTACAGATGCTGTAATACTACTTCTTGTCTCTTCTAACAGCTCTTTTGAACTCTCTGTTAAGTTCCCTTTTGAGATTTTTGTCTTTCTTGGTTTTGGCTTCTCTTCTCTTGGCAGTTTCCAGTTGTTCTGACATCCATTTTGCTTTCTTCTGTTTCTTCACTTTTGGCAGTCTCTTTTCATATTCATACTAAACAACTTCCTTATTCATTTCATAATTCCTCTGATTCTCTAACAATGAGGGTCAAGACTTCAAAGTGATTTCTGATGTTCTTGAAAGTGGTGGGTATGTTCAAGGTCATATTGTGGAAACTGACTGGCTTTCTTCTTCTTTAGCTTAATTTAGAACTTGCACATGAGCAGTTTGTGATCTGTTTCACAGTCAACACCTGGTCATGCCTTTGATGCTATACCTCCACCTCCTTTTAATGATAATAAAATCAATTTGAGTTCTATATACTCCATCTGATGATGTCCATGTACAGAGGCATCATTTTAGTTGTTTGAAGACAGTGTTAGCTATGATGAAATCATTGGAGTGGCAGAAATTGATAAGTCAGTCTCCTGCTTCATTTTGGTGTCCTCAGCCATACAGTCCAACTACATTTTCCTCTTTAATGTTTCCAACATTAACATTCCTATTTTCAATCACAAGCAGCATATCTTGCTTGCATGTTCTGTCTATTACAAATCAAACTCGATCATAAAACTCATCAATCTCCTTTTCTTCTGCATTGGTTAATAAACTTGAATGAGCATCATATTAAAGGGTTATCCACAAAGTCTAATCAATATTATTTGGTCATTGCATTGTAGCCAAGTGCTGTTCTTCCTATACCCTTCCTAACTGTAAAAGCAATGCCGTTCATTCTTTGTTTTTCATGTTCTGATTAATAAACAGTATGATCTTCTAACTGAAGGTGTCCAATCCCAGTCTATCTCAATTTGCTGATGCCTAAAATGTCAATTTGTAGTCATTTAATTTCATTTTTCACTGTTGAGCTTTCCCATATTCATGCTCATACATTCCATGTTTCCACTGCAATTATGCCTTCAGATTTTCTTTTCCTGTATGGCAACATCAGCAACTAGACATCCTGAAGGCTTTAATCTAGCTGCGTCATAAACTCCATCACTACTCAAAAAGTTCCTCAGTTTTTCCTCAGTAGCAAGTGCCATCCAACCTGAGGGGCTTGCCATTTGGCACTATATCATCAATCATTTTATATTTTCTATCCATGTGGTTTTCTTGGTAAAAATACAAGAGTGGTTTGCCATTGCCTTCTCCTGCTCGGTATGAGTTGATGCCTTTGTCATCAAGCGAGGAGGCACCAATATTGGGCAGCTGTGATGACCTTTGTGCCTTGGGTGCTAGGAATATATACTTTGGGCATACACTCCCAATGTTCTTCACTCATCCCTCCTAAGAACACCCCCCTGCTGCAATGAGGCAGCACAACAGAACGTGGGAGGGGAGGGGAACAGTATAAATACTAAAATGAAAATCCTTCTGAACGTAACTCTTTAAAAATAAATACTTTGGGAACTAGAATTTTCATAGTATCTCTCTGATACATAATTATGCCTGCATAAGAAAGACTAACTCTGTTGTAGAAACCCAGCACAATGTCCCCTGGTATTAAGGTTTGTATTCAGAAAATACACTTTCTAATTAGAAACTAAGCAACATAGATATAGTTATACATTCAGTGACCTAATTCAGATTATCATTTAAGCCACAATTTGTTTTTTACAGAAATAAGCTGTAATGAATTTCAGTCTTACACATTGCTCTTTGCCTCTCACTCTGTGTAGTATAGATTCAATCACTAGTTAATTTAAGATACTTACTATGCTAAAAAGAAGTGTTCCAACACCAGCATAAAGTATTTCCGTCAACTGCAAAACCAGAATTTAGAGTTAGAATTAAGCAAGAATAAAAAATAATTAGAGTTCCTTAAAACATACTAGTATCCATATGATCCACACACTGAAATACTTTGGTGTTCTCCATGCATTAGAAGGCAATTTTTTTCCTGGGATTAAAGGTTTAGCATAGATTCAAGTTGTAGCCACTTGCTAAGAGTTGTCTTTCTCTTGCTTTTGAAGTGAAAAGAATCAGTGATCTGTGTCTGGTCTGTAAACTGCAATGTTTGGGGGCTCATGTCTTGATACTTCAGGAAAAAACAGGTAAGTTTGACAGCCTCAGGGCCCTATATATTTGGTGATGGCTGTTAATGTACCATCCCTTCTTGGTGGTTTGGCACCTTCACATGTTTCCACCCTTCTTCAATGGTATACTGTATACGAAGATGTAAGGCTAATTATAGCAAAACCTTTCACTAAATTGAGCCTCACTCCAGGTCACAATCCACTAGATTTCTTCAGAATATGGTGGTGATATTCTTCAACTGCCTTATCTACCCCTTTGGGAGGTAGAAATTAGTCACACCATGATGGGACTCCTCAACCAGATAATTAGCTTATTTAAAGTTGCATGCTAGCTGTGCCCCATCCTGGCCCACCGTTTGTATGCTGGTACTTCATACATTTACAGTATATGATTCCAAAGATACGCCATATTGGGGTCACTTTTTTATCATCTTGTTGATGTAGTGTATTGCTCCACAGGTTCTGCCTTTTTGCTGGAGAGCTAGTACTGGACTATTCCACTCTGATAACCTTCTGACACTGAGGAGATCTGGGAATAACATATGACACTAACTGTTGCTATTGTCCCAGGCAGTTTACATGAGACCTGACCAAGCCATTGCAACTTGCTCTACTTTTGGGATATTAGCAATCTGTTCTTATGAGCTACCATTCCCTGTAATTGAATAAACGGCCACAATGATCCACGTTGGTCTCCATGTGGCAGGCAGGCAGATCTCGATTCTCACAATTACTATATTTTCCATATCCTACCTGGGCCAGTTTAATAAGGCTAATAAGTTGGTCTCTTGTGTCTGTAGTAGCCATTGCTTCTCAAGAACTTTGGATCAGGTCACTAATACTCTTCATAGGTGGATTTAACATTTCATACAGATATCTTCCTCTATGGGTGGGATGGCTTCAAAGATGTCCCTGTCTAGGTAGTTCAAGTATACACACAGAGGCATTTCAGAGTCTCCAGATTCTTTCATGGGAATTATGATACCCTATGCTATCAGATATACAGTATACAGTGAAGAATTATGTAAAGCAACCTTAATGCTCTGTTTAAATTTTCATCAGACATAACATAGTCAGTAACTCTACCTGCCCCATCAGGTCTGGCAGGAGAGGCATGTTGCAGGTCCCATCTATTAAGGAGTTCCATCTGATGGGACCTAGGAGATGAGCCTTTTCTGCCATGGCACCCACCCTCTGGAACATCATTCACCTCCAAGATTGAATTTGAGCTCAATTTAATTTGGAAAATCAAAGGCTGATTTAGCAGAATTAAAAGTATTTGCAACCATAAATATAGTGTAAAAAGTTAAAATGATAATAGTTGCGTTCTTCCTTAGCCTTCAACAAGACAGAAAACAGCTTATGAAATCAAGACTAAAATAGGTAAAGCAAAGAAGCATTGCTGAGACAAAAAATAAAAGCACTTACTTTTGATTCCAGGAAGATACACAGAACTCCAGTAATGATCACCACAAGCAACAAGACTAGCAATATTCCAGATGTTATGGTAAGTTCCCACTAAAAAGAAGTAACATTGGAATCAACACATTTTGCCACCCCAAGATATTAAGATCTAGCGTATCTGAGTAATGTGATGCACAGAAGGAAAGATACTTACTAATCCCAATGCATACTCACCAGAACATTTTCATAACCGGTTCAGACATCAAAACACATGCACATGAGTCTCTGCCAAATGTAATATGCCTGCTAAATATCTATTTCTTAAATTTATATGACAGTCCACTCAACACAAAATTGTGGGTGGCTATAAAGCCATTAAAAATAACCATATATAAACAAAAACAATTCAAAACAGCACATCGCACCTGTGATGATTCACACACACACAATCATGCCACTACGATGGGCTCACTTAACAGCTTGGCCAACTGTCCTGGGGAAGAACCAGGTCTTCGGTACCTTGTGAAAGGTCAGCAGAGTCAGGACCATTTCAATCTCAGAGTGTATATTGTTTCTTCAGACGGGTTTGTACAATTGAGTGTTTTCAGCATCCTGATGATACCTAATCCCATGCTACTGGATGATCTCACTCAGAAGCCTCATCTAGATGTTAAATAGGATAGGGGAGAGAATGGAGCCCCGTGAAACCTCACAAACCAGGGATTTAGTGCTAAACCTCTCCCATGCACAGCACTGTCTGGAACCAGTGGAGGTAGGGGGAGAACCACTAGAGGTAGGGGGAGAACCACAACACCATAACCCCCACTCCCAACTCTCTGAGTCAGTCCAGATGGATACCATGATCAAGAGTATTGAAAGATGCCAAGAGATTAAGGAGGGTTTGATGGATGCACTACTGGCATCCCAGTCCCTCTAGAGATCACTAACAAGTATGATCATTTATATTTTAGTACTGTATCCAGGTCTGAACCCAGGGCCCTTTGAAGGTGCAGCCTGATCACCTCAACAGTCTTCCCTAAAAAGAAAAGATTGGAGACAGGATGAAAATTGTCCAATACTATTGGGTCCAGTGATGGTTTCTTGAGGAAGAAGGGGCAGTACCACCCTCTCAGGGATGAATTCACCACCATTTGGACCCAATTATATGTTTCTCAGAAAGCTTTAAACAGTCAAAGAGACACAAATCTAAAACACACGTGGCTGAACTGACAATCTCAAGGATCCTGTCCACTTCTTTGGGACCAATAGTAAATAATTAAACAGTCTTAATAAAATTATTCTATGCCAGTTTATATCTTGGCTGTTTTCCAGCAAAATGTGGTAAAAGTATATTTAATTAAGAGCTTAGTTTCCAGGTAAAGCAGCAGAAAGCACTGATAAATTTTTCTGCAACTAAATAAATTTCTTCTTTGCACATAGCTTGAAAATACTGTTGAAAACTAATTTGGAGACTTGGAGAAGAAAATTGTGGCCATTAACAGTGGAAGGAAGGATTCCCTTTCCCTGTAGTCCCACTATTTCTCATTTACCACATAGTAAATGTGGCACATTAGATTCAGTTCTCAAAGTTTAGAGTTTATTTTAACCATAATAAATATACTCCAGGAAAGGATGAATCCAAACATTTTCTAATGGAGCAATTCTTAAATTTTTATTTTTGCTATTTTTCAAAATATAGACAAACACCAAAATATAGGTAGACCTCACTTAATGACCACTTGTTCAGCAACCATTCAAACTTATGGTAGGGCTGAACAAGTGGTACTTAGATTTTAGATTTCTTTTTAGATTTTTTTTAACCTGCCTTTATTATTTTTATAAATAACTCAAGGCAGCGAACATACCTAATACTCCTTCCTCCTCCTATTTTGCTCACAACAACAGCCCTGCGAGGAGAGTTGGGCTGAGAAGAGTGACTGGCCCAGTCACCCAGCCAGCTTTCATACCTAAGGTGGGACTAGAACTCACGGTTTCTTGGTTTTTAGCCTGGCCTTAACCACTAGACCAAACTGGCTCTCTTACAACCTACTTACAACTGGTCCTCATACTTATGACAGATGCAGTGTCCTGCAGTCACATGATCACCATTTGCAACTTTCACTGCCACCTTCTGACAAGCAAAGTCAGTGGGGAAGCCAGCAGGAGGTCGCAAATGGCAGCCAAATGACCTTGCTCTTAACAACATCATGGGATTCATTAAACAACAGCAAGTGCCAGATCTGCCATCACTAATGGAGTGGTCACGTGACATTGCATTTTAAAACCGCGTTGCTTATCAACAGAAATTCCAGTCCAAATTACCATAGTTAACTGAGGACTACCTGTACATTAAAAAACATGATTAAGCAAAACAATCCTTAAAGAAAAAATAATGGAAACCAAAAAAAAAAAAAAGAGGAAGAAAGAAACAAGAAAGATTAAAAAAACAAAGAAAAGAGAAAAATCTATTTTACATATTAAACTTATCAGTAGTCATTGGTTTACTAATAAATAACATATAATATTACAGGTAGTCCTTGCTTAACAACCATTCATTCAGTGACCATTCAAAGTTATGACAGCGCAGAACGAAGGGACTTACAACTGGTCCTCAAAGTTCTGGTTGTCATAGCGCCCCCATGGTCATGTGAATAAAATTCAGGCCTCCCCGCTTTTATGACTGCCACCCGTAAGGAAGAACCTGACGAGTACACGAAAGGAGGGTCCTTTTGCACTGGCACAGCCAGGACCCTCTTTCGTGCTGGCCTAATTTTGCACTCTGTCCAGGTCCTTCTTTTGCAAAATGAGGCCCTGGCCAGTGCATGAAAGAAGGTCCTGGTTGCACTGGTACAAAAGAAGGCAGCGTAAAAGAAGGCCTCTGCTGGTAGTGGTGCGTGGTGCAGAGGGTGTGGCGACAGGCAAAGTTTGGTGGTGGGGGCAGCTGGTGGGGGCAGGTAGGTGGGCAACCAAAAGGGCAGAGATGGGAGACAGATAGGTGGATGGGTTGAGTTGAAGTAAAGACAGTTCCTTATCTTCCAAGAATGGTTTGGATCTGGGTGGGTCCTTGCCTAGCTACCACATGGGATTCTCTCAACAACAGCAACTGGGACTGCTGGAACTGCTGTCACTAAGCAGAATGGTCACATGACATTTTGCTTAATGACCACATCGCTTAGCAACGGAGTTGTCAGTCTCAAATAGGGTGTTTAAATGAGGACTGCCTGTATAGTATAATCAGTACAAAACATTATTATAAAATGTCACAAAATCTCTGCCAAAGAAGTATATATTGCTTCATCCTTTGATTAATAGAGAATATTGCCTTTTCCAAGATGGGTGAGTTTCACATTTCCAAAAGTCTTTCCTTACAATCTGGGATAATATCACTTTTCAATTTCTCAGTATAATTCTTTTAGCCACCCCGCATGCACAATACAATTATAATTCCTGATACGTAGTCCAATTTAAAAGCTTTGATATATAATTCAACATATTAACATCTTTAACATTTAAAGTTTTCCCATAAACCTACTTATATAAATTAAAATACCATTCCAAAAAGGTATCAAATGATCAGATGAACATGTTGTATGTGTCAATGAACCCTCAGATTTTTTATATCTCCAACAAAGAAAATCTGATGTCCATCCTTTCAGTTACATTATTTGGGGAGGCCAATGCACTCTAAATACAATATTTGATTAATCAACTTTAATCTCAAATCTGTTGATACATTTTAACATTTTTAAGGACATGAAACCTTTGATTGGGCATTGTTGGAGATTCCAGTTCTTTACTCCATGTTTGGAATATCCCAGAAAGTCCATTTTAAAAATATTATTGAGCTTTTGATAGATAAATGTTACGGGTTTTTCTTCTGTCATGGTTCCCATCCAATAGGAAAGCATCTCAGGTGCCTCTGAAGTGGCCAAAGCATCTGGCCCATATTGATCCATTAAAACATGCTTAAGCTGAAAATGCTGCTGCAGCTGCTGCTGCTGTGAACTGGGAAGATCAAATTCAGTTTGAAGTTGTGAAAAATTCTCGAAACAGTCATTACATAACAGTTTAAAGTAATAATCCTGGCTTCTGCTTCTGCTGAAGCCAGTTCTTCCCCATCCACACAGCCTCTAGGCACTGGGAAAGCACCTCAGCAGCCTCATTTGGCCAGCCCAGGGTCGAGATGTATAACTGAGTATCATCAGCATTCTGATGATACTTAACTCCATGCTGAACCTCACCCAGCAGTTTCATATAGATGTTAAATAGGACTGGGGAAAGAGTTGAAGCTTATGGCACCCTGCAAAGCAGGGCCCTAGCCCTCTCCCTCCCTACCCCTCACAATACCAACTGGAACTGGCATCAGAGGAAAGAGGAAAACCACTGAAGAACAGTGCCTCCCACTCCCAATCTCTTCAATCAGTCCAAAAAAATACACAATCAATGGTATCGAAAACCTCCAAGAGATCAAGGAGGGCCAGGATGGATGCACCGCCATCCTGAACCTGCCAGAGGACATCAACAAGCATGAACAATGCCATCTCAGTGCCATGTCTGGCCTGAACCCCAAATACCATGGGTCCAGATAATCCACTTCCTCCAAGGCCCTTTGGAATTGCACACCTATCACTTTCTCAATAACCTTCCCTAAACAGGCAGCTGGAACCACCTTCTCCCTCAAAGAGGCATTTACTATGCTTTAACCCAGCAACATGTCACCTCCCAAGAGGCCAAGACCAACCAGGAGAGACATGGATCTAACACACATCAACATTTTCAAGGATCCTGTCCACTTCCTCAGGAGTAACTGGATCAAACTCTGCCCAGTTAACTGGACAAGACTGGATCCCAGTCATCTCCACAGAAGCAGCACAGCTGCAGTCCAATTCTGAGATGCCACATGTACCTAAAACTACTTTTAAGATAGGCTATAGTAACAGAATACTGCAAGTCTGAATGTGCTTCTCCTCCTCTCTCTTTTATCTTCCTGTGAATTCAGGAAATGTCTGTCTGAGATACTTTTGTGTCATTCTCCCACATCTGCACTTCTGTAATATTTATATGCTTGTTGCCTTAGTAGTGGATCTTTCCTTTCTCCCTCAAACTCATCCTCT